CTGATTAAGTTTTCAGGTGGATTTTCCCACTTAAAAACTTAATAAAACTAACTTATTCCCACTGATCACAGAAAATATAGCTGCAAGGCAAAGAAAGGATAGAGTAGCTCCGCCCAACGCGCGTCAGAGCCACTTTTCGACCGCACAGCCAGAGCAGCGAAGCTTCTTCAGCCGCGTGTCAGAAGCTGGTACAAGCAGCAAAAAGGAAGCAGCAGACGTGATTTTGCTGCTCCTGCTGCGTCCAGTTTGAAAGCAGCATGATTCACTCCGCTCTGGCTTTGCACTGCGCTGGCGCTGGTTGTGTTGAAATTGCATCAATAAGCCGGCATCCAGCTCTCTCTCTGTGTCTGGTGTCATAATGAGGGGCACTTCGAATACAGATTTTAAAGTAGAATCAGTAAAATATTTTTTAGTGACAGTTGTCTCACATAAAATAAATGCCTTTTGACTCTACAGCCTCATTCTCTCCTTTTCTGCTACTCCTGTCTTTGTGTCTCTTTGCACAGTAGTAGTAGTAGTTTTTTTTTTTTTTTTTTAATGGCTGAATTATATGTATTGTTATTTACTTGTTTCTGGAAATGTCTCTATTAAACATAAAATCCCCTGTAGTTTTTTTTTTTTCTTCTTTTAACTATCCTAATATCTCTCTACTCTGCTTTGACACCAAAACAACCCCCAAAACTGTCATGATCTGGCCTGTTTGCTCTCCCTTAATTAGTCATTCCTTTCACCTGTCGTTTTTCCCTCCCTGCCTCTTTATTATTTATTCCTCTCACCTGTTTCCTCTAGTTTATATTCAGTTCAGCCTGAGCATTCAGGGCCAGATCATTGCTTGTCTTTCTGTCAGTCTTTCTGTTCAGTTTTATTTGGTTCATGTCCTGGATCCTAGCTGCCAGTGGAAAGAGGGTTTTAGTGTTTGTCCCGTCTCCTGATTGTCCACTGTTCCTCCCCCAAGGAGTCCTCTGGGTTTTTGGCTCATTATGGGGGGAGGTTCAGTTTTTATCAAAGTAAGCCTGGCTCCAGGGAGGAGACCAGTTTAAAGTCTGCTTCAAGTTCCGGTTCCTACGTCCTGTCTCGGCTACCCTCTTCCACTGTGCCTGCCTGTCTGCACCTGATCCTGTCTGCTCCTGTGCGTGACCTCCTGGTCATGCTTCTGGTCCCAGTCAGACTCTGAACCCTCCTGGAAGCCTGTGGATGCCTGGAAGTCTGGATTCTGCCACCTGTCTCTGTTCCTGCCTGATCTGGATCCTGCCTGTTTCTGTCTGTTCCTGTCTGTTCTGGATCCCTCACCAGGATTGGCTTCCAGCATGACCTCTGGGACTGCAGCACTGGGGACACTCGTGGTCTGGACTGTTAAACCAGGTAAGTGACCAACACAGTGATCTTCTATCAGTCGATCGTGGTCACTTACCTGTGTTTCTCCCCCAGAGTGTCTGAGATTGGGCGGTGCCCCGCCCCCCCGCCTGCAGTGTCCGCGAGCCACAGCTCCGCTTTTGTTTTGTTTTATTTAATAAACGTTTGAACTTTTCTACTGACTGTCTCTCCTTGAATACTGGGTCCATCTGTCCTCGGTTCATGACAAAAACACTAGGAGGGATTTACAATCTCCTGCAGTTGGATAAAATGAAATACACAAATTAGGTAATGATGTCATGTAGTGTCTTTTAGGAAAGCCAATAGTGACTTTTCTTGCTGAGGAATTGGCAACACTGAGACTGAGGCTGTGACCAAAAGTCCACCATAACCCCTAAAACCTTCAATCTCAAAGCTGGACTATATAGTGGACTTTATAGTGAATGCAGTTAACTGAACGTTCAGACAGATGACTACTTTTTGCTCCCTGTCAGGTAATTTTGACTCCCCGCGCAGTGCCTGTATTCTATTTATCTTTTCTTGCCACCAGAATAAATCCCATGATGCTTTGCAAGGAGAACTCTAACAAAGCAAAGCAATCTGGGATATATATGCTAGTCTAGTGACCATTGATGATCACTACTTTTCAAGGTGCATTGTGGGAAATTTTGAGTGCACTATGTTTTCATCCTCTAGACCAGGTATCCTTGAGGGCTGCTGTCCTGCAGGTTTTAGAGGTTTCCTTGTTCCAGCACAGCTGATTTTAATTGAAAGCTGATTAACAGGCTTCAGCTCTACTGCAATCATGATAATCAGCTGTGCTAAAGCAGGGAAACCTCTAAAACCTGCAGGACAGCGGCCCTCAAGGACCGAGTTTGGGGACGCCTGCTCTAGACGTTCGGACAATTGTCTAAAATGGTGTAAACACTGTATAGTGCCCTATATAGTGATTAGGGTGGAGGGTCAGACACAGCTTGACAAAAACGACTTTTTCATTGCAAGACTACTACCTCCAGACAGAGACTGATCATGTTTGAAAAGCAGAGGTTGGTTCTGTTTAGATGTGGCACACAGTGACAGTGTGTCTCTACTAGAACTTAGTTATTATTTATTTTTTAATTATTATGCATTCCTATTTATCTGAGAAGGGGACTCATACATTTTAATGTTACGCACTGACCAAATAACATTTGATATAGTCCAGAATTATTTATTATGTTATCACTGGAACTCAGATTGCAAGCATGCAGTCAATACAATTTTTAATATCAACACAAAGACAGTGGAGATGAGGAAAATGTGGAACAACTGCTGCAGACTGAGTAGGCAGACAAATTAACACAAAGGTAGTTGAAGAAAGTGGCAGAACAATCTACAAATCAAAAGTGAAACACCTTTCACTAACATGAGAAAACAAAAAATGTACAGAGTAAATCAAACCCCACAAATACTCAAAACCGTAAAAGTAACTAATTAACTTTTTGATATGACACTAACAACAAAGGTGATTGGCAAAATTAATAAACAGGATAATGGAAACCTCTAAACAAAATAATAATAAATAATCAAATAAAAATCCCAAAATATGATGGAAAATATATTTGCGAAGCATAAAAATGTCTTTTTCCTTCTTTAGCCTTATTTCTACACTGAATTCACAAAGCAGATTGCACTAAATACATACGGATGGAAAGACGCTGATCAAGTCAGTTTATAAGTATTCTTTTATCGTGTCACAGTTCTTTTCACATTTACACACATACTACATGCAGCGATGGGCTGCTCAGTGGCGCAGTGGGTAGCACTGCTGCCTTGCAGCAAGAAGGTTCTGGGTTCAAATCCTGGCCCAGGGTCTTTCTGCATGGAGTTTGCATGTTCTCCCTGGGCATGCGTGGGTTCTCTCCGGGTACTCCGGCTTCCTCCCACAGTCCAAAAACACTGTTAGGTTGATTGGCTTCTCTAAATTGTCCTGTGTGTGTGAATGGTTGTTTGTCCTGTGTGTCTCTGTGTTGCCCTGCGATGGACCCAATTGGGACAAGTGTGTAAGATGATGGATGGATGGACTACATGCAGTGATTTAATTAGACAGTATATTATAATTCTATTCTATAATGCATGGCTAGGTGCCTAAAACACTTTAAGAAAAAAATCTGAAATCCACATTAGAACTCAAGAAATGATGCTTCAGACAATAAAAAACACCAGAATTATTCATAATTTACGCTACATACTGTCAAAAATTCCACTTTAAACTTTGCTGAGCAGCAAAAGAGCCATGAGTTACATTTTGAGAAAGGATAATGATTTTTTTTTTTCATGCCCAGAGGCTTCTAAAATAGACCATCAATCAGGGGAAAGTGCTTTTTTTTTTTTTTTTTTTTTTGATTAGTTGCATCAGTACTCCAAAATGTACTGTTTGCAGCTTATGGGGGAAGTACTTAATGTTGCAGGGAAACACATTAAATCTCTTAACTTGATTTTCCTATCCCTACTTTTATATACCAAACCAACCATGATACATTTTCATTTTAGCAAACAAAGTTAAACTTTATATAATCCTTGTTGTACACACTTACCCCTATTGCTGTCAAGATGGGTACCTGGTAAATCCACTTAATATTACCAGCACTCAACTCCCAGCACCTGATGTTGGATCAAATGGAGAAAACAGAAAAAATAGACTGAAAATCAAATTTAATAAAATGCAATTGTTAAAATTATATAGTTTTGTTTAAATGCTGTGGAAATTTTATTTAATAATCGGAATAGGTGTACCAGACGGATTTTAAGTGACATGACAAGAAATCTTAACATTCCTGATAAAATGGGCAAATAAAACCTTTGATTCAATACATCTAATTAGCAGGAAAAGATATTTATTTACCAATATTACAATATCTGCACCGTTTTATTTAATACTGGTGCACATCTATAGTGTTCATTGAGTAAGAGAGATGGTTAACCAAAGATATTTCTACATTACGGGTCAAAAGACATAAAGGACAAAATATCACAGCATTATCCTTCCAAAATAATTTAACCTATATGACTGGGGCAGATAATTCTTTGTATTGAAATATGTATTTATACTTTTATTTCTACGCTCCTTAATTTAATGGCAAATTTGATTCTTTTCAAATTAATCTGACTTTCTATTTCTCTGAGGTAGGATATAAAGTCAAATATATCTTGCCACTAAACACAGTGAAGACATTATGCTGTAGGCCTTTTTTTTCTTCCAAGTGCACAGGAGCTTGGTTATGACGCATGGTATAATAAAGCCATGGAAATACCAGGAGGTTTTAAACAAAGATCTAGCGGCCTCTGCTAGAACACAAAAAATTGGCCACGGATGGATCTCTGATGACATAATGAATCAAAGCATTTGGCAAACCGAGACCTCTAATTATCACCTTGTCTCAAAGCACTTTGCAAAAACAGTCGATTTAATTTATTCATACTTCCAAGTCAAGTACATTGAGACCAAATGATTGTAATTATCAAACAATGCAGGGGGCCTCATATGAATCTAGAGGCAACCTTTTCATAAACTGTATAAACTTTTTTGGGGGGTCCATACTTTCTGCCTGCACGTGACAAAAACATGAAAGTTGTATATTTTATTTTCAAGCTTGTTGTTTTTAGTGTGAGTTACAGCAATTAAAGGTTTATTTTTAGGCTTCTTGCACATCTTTACCAGAGAGTGTCAGAATGTAGGGAGGCGTTTGTAGTAGTGAATTGGAGCTAAAATTAGACTACGGTAACAAAATAAAAAAAGGTATTCAGAAAATGAGTAGTAAATCATATTCGAAACATATTTTGAATTTAGTTACTATTTTTTAATGTTATTGCGACATCACCTTTTTTTACGTGGTTCTGGTTTGAACTTTTCTCTTTTTCTCTTTTATGGCTCCCATTGTTTCCTTTCCTCCTTTTCACATTTTTACATAATTTTGTCTCAGATTTGAAGTTTCTCTTTCAATCAGAGAAAAAGGTTTGGAAAATGATTCATAGCTCCACAGCAGAATAATTTCTCCTTTCTAAATAACACCAGGAAGGATGTTCTTTTCATCAACTGTAGCTCCAAACATACCCTGGGAGATGTACTTAGATTTAACTTCATCCTTCCACAGCAATTATTTCTAAAGTCCCCACCTGTTGCATTGTGTGTCAGCTTTTGTTCATAACTATGTTGCATATTAAATTAACCTTGTATAATTGGATTTCACGGGTGACTCAAATGTCACCAGAATTAGACTCTAATTGTGCTGTCGGCTTTTGTCTCTTCCATACTTACCTATGAAGATGGTTTGTCTTGTTTCATTGAGTTCAAAATGTTTATTGATCTCTAATCTGTGCATTTTGATAAAGACAAAAATATGCAATAGTGCCTTTAGAAAACCACCCACGCAATTATTTTATTTTTACCTTGCATCTGCCAGTGTTGCCCTGACGATTGCCCAGATTGCGACAAAAACAGCAGGAACACCTGGAAGTACAAAACGTGCGGTGACTCAGTGATTTTATTAGTTAACTCGATGCAGCTTGTGGTTCATATCTCATTCATATTTCACATTTTATTTCCTTCATGCCACAAAAAAGGACAGATACTAACTGCACTAAAATGCTGCATAGAAAGTGAGGTTGCATATATAATGATGGTGTGCTGACACATAATTACACAGCCGGACAATGTGACTAACCTACTTCCTATCCAGTTGCTGTCACAATTTAACAGAAGCAACAATTTTAACACTTTTACTCCCCAACAAAGCATATAGAGACTGGTGGTTTACATGTAACTGTCTGTAAATTAATGTTTAGGCTCCACAGCTGTATGTTATATATAGCTACATGTTACAGCGATAAGTTGGCTTAATGTACTGATACATTTACAATCTCACTATTGCTTTTTTTAAGATTTCAACCATGATTATCTGACTTTCCCAATGAAATTTGTGAAGATTTCATTGGGGGCTCCCATGAAGTCAGAATCTGAACCCTCAGATTAAAAAATTGGCCATTTTTGAATCCGAGGGTTGAACCGTTGATTGAACAACTCCCCTTTTCTTGTTATTATTTGGGGATTGTCACTACAACTTAGCAATTCGAGTAATAACAAAGCATGTTATAGGTCTGGAATGTTTATGAGATAAACTCAAATTACACCTTTGGTAGCAACTGTTGAGAAAAATAAAAAGGGCGAAGAGGTTAGAAAAAGTTGTGCATAATTTAACGTTTGCAAACCTACAAAGAATTGGGTGTAGCTGAGATCTCAGTGTAACTTCATTTCTATTGAGGCACTATAGGATTAGAACCTCCAAACTGGTTTGTCTCACCAACAACCTCCATTTTATGGCCCAAAGAGAATGCACTGGTTACATGGTTGTTTTAAAATCCATTTGATAATCCTGACTTTAGGTCTGGGATTATTAAAGCACTGAGGATTTTAGACCAAAGTCTCTGATAGGTTCAAGGCTCAGTAATTAAAACTTTAGTGAATCTGTCTAGTCTGTTGTACCTAAACGAGCTCCATAATTTGATGTATTGACGTGGTCTAAGAGTCTGAACTCTTCTCACAGCAGCTAAAGACATTCTTATCTAAATTCGATTTTCATTTGTAACAATCTAACAATTCTAAATTCTGGTATTTTGCATTATAGCATAGTCTAGATTTTGGATAAGTTTTGTGTACATGCTGCATCCCTCTTTTTAAACAAGGTTCTGTTGGACCACCACTGTTTAAGTTCAGGTGGGTTTATAGTGTTCAAAAATACATAAATCTGAAGGGCTTTTCTTTTAATCATTAATATTTTTTGTTGCTTTTTATTTTGTAATGAAAGAAGGCCCTGAAAACTAGTACATGGGGTACCAAAGCTGGATTTATTGTTAGGTTCAATATTAGTATCGCAAAACTGGTTAAATATCTATCTATCGCCTTGACTTGGAGTCACACACAAAATTAAAGTGGAAAAATATATTTCACACTGACCCAACTTCACAAGTCCTTAAAACAGGTACAAAATTATGCTTGTATTGTGCTTGTGTGAGGTCTGCTGACACACTCCAGCCATGAGGTATTGTATGGTTCTGTATTAATAGGAACCCAGGGCCAACCACACCATCATATGGTCTCACGAGGGGTCTGAGGATCTCATCTCAGTACCTAAGGGCAGCCATGATAACTCTTGAGAACACATGGAGGGTTGTGTGGCCCTCCAAAGAAATGGCACCCCACATCATTACTGACCCACTGCCAAACAGTCATGCTTAAGGTTGTTGCAGGCAGCAGATTGCTCTTCACGTTATACCCAGGTTCTGTCACATCCATGAAATGTGCTCTGTGGGAACCTGCTTCCATTTGAGAAGAACACAAAGCATCAGCGGCACATTTGCCAATCCTGATGTTCTCTGGCAAATGTTATGCATCCTAAACAATGTTTGACTGTGAGTACAACCCCCATCTGTGAATGTTTAGCCCTCATACCATCCTCATGGAGTCTGTTTCTAACCATTATTGCAGGGCTCTGACACTCCTCCTGCTCTTTCTTGCACAAAGGCGGAGGTAGTGGTCCTGCTACTGGGTTGTTGCTCTCCTACGGCCTCCTCCATGTTTGCTGGTGTACTAGCCTGTCTCCTGGTAGCACCTCCAGCCTCTGGACACAACGCTGTCAGACACAGCAAATCTTCTCGCCACAGCTTGCATTGAAGCGCCATCCTAGATGAGCCACATTACCTGACCCACTTGTGTGGGTTGTAGAGTCCTTGTCATGCTACCATGAGTGTGAAAGCAACACTAACATTCAAATGTAAACAGAACATCAGCCAGAAAGCACAGAAAAGTACTGAGAAGTGGTCTGTGGTCTCTACATGCAGAGCCACTACTTTTTTGAGTGACTTGCTAATTGCCATAGATAGATAGATAGATAGATAGATAGATAGATAGATAGATAGATAGATAGATAGATAGATAGATAGATAGATAGATAGATAGATAGATAGATAGAT